ATATCCAGGGCTCATGTATGAGATTACTAACAAGCATTACTGAATAATCAGATGAGGGACAGTTTGCTATGTCTACTAGGTGGCTAGAGTCTGATCCTCAGAGCCTATGGTTTGGACGGTCAACAACGCTTGGGCCCACAGGGGCTTGACCTCCTGACCGGGTCTGCACGGTCTGCACAGGATCCAAGTTTTGCCAGATGACATTGGACATATTCAGCAGCACTCTGAGTATACTTGTTGTTGTTGTTAAGTGCTGTGAGTCGATTCCGACCCATAGTGACCCTGTACAGGGTTTCCAAGGCTGTAAATCTGTATGGGAGCAGAAAGCCTCATCTAACTGGAGGTAGTAAAATGCCTTAGGGGGGGGTCAGTGATAGATTTCTCCCACACAGGAGGCCTGGGCTCAATTCCTAGCCAATGTACTTCACACACAGCCATCACTAGTCGGCCACTGGAGTCCAATGCGTTGCTATGATGCTGAATAGGTTTCAGTGGAGCGTCTAGACTATGAGAGAAAAGTCTGGTGATCTACTTGGAAAAAATCAGCCCATGAAAACCGTATGGATCACAGTTGTCAATATTGTGCCTGTAGTCACAATGGGTGGGGAATGGGGGGGAAGAGGTGGGGTGGTGGCCTCCCCCTGACAACAATAACAACAGCCTGCCAGAAGAAGTTTGTATTAACAAAGGCATTTCCACACAGGCCTTGAATATAGTAAGGCACTCTACAAAATGTGAAGATTGACATTTTTACTGCCTGAAGCTGTGCAATAAAAAGACAGTCCAAGTCAAGAAAGGCCAGGATCTGTCAAGCACCTGCAAAGTCTGACCCTCAGAGGGAAATGACTGGAATCTAAGATAATTACTACTGTGAAGATGAAAGCTTTGTTGAATTTTGCTAGTTCCGGTAGTCATTTTGTATACTGGCAAGGAGAAATTATGCCTAAATTCCTGAAGCAAAGTAGATGGAACCAAATACAAGCTTACTTTCCAAATAAATATGGGGGAGAAAGTATGGCCAAGCAATTGAGTACTCCAAGTATTCATTGTGTATGTTCATATGTGCCTGACTAAACAACATTTCAAGGAGCCCTGGTGACACAGTGGTTAAGTGCTCAGCTGCTAACTGAGACGTTGGCAGTTCTAACTCACCCGCTATCCCGTGGGAGAACGATATGGCAGTCTGCTTCTGTACAAGTGACAGCCTTGGCAACCCTAGAAGGCAGTTCTACTCTGTCCTGTAGCGTTGCTATGAGTTAAAATTGACTTGATGGCACCGGCATTTAAACAGCATTCTCATCTGATCCAGAGTGCCCCCAAACTGGAGAAAGCTGAGAGGCTGGGGACCATGATGGCTTACACTAATTTCTAAGTGCTGTTTTTTGGTCAGATTCAGGGGGTGACTTATCACGGTGATTCCATACTCCTCAGGGTTCTTGTCCTTGTGCAGGCTGCCATGTAGGATGGCATTGTGGGTCACACTAAGAAAGCTGACCACAGCATGCCAGCCTTTGTTGTTAAACCACACCTATAAGAAGGCGGAGATGGTAACTTTGTTAGCCTGTGCTGTGTTGTGATATCTGAGAAGCAAGGTCCTAATAATAACAGCTATTGAACGAAAAAAGTTAGCAACAGGAAAAAGAATGTGAGAAGGAGGAAGGGCTTGGCAGCTGAAGGACATTCCTCTCTAAATTTCAATAGGAGGAGGGGTGGAATTTAATTAAGCTGGGAAAATAACCAGCTCAAGTGAATTGTTACCTCTAGGGCAGATTATTCCGATTAAGTACCTTAATGTTGTCTTTGGTTTCTAGATGCTTATGGAAGTCAGACATTTCTTTAGAGGTCTCTCTGGTGATTGTTGTTGTTAAGTGCCGTTGAGTCGGTTCCGACCCATAGCGACCCTGAACAGGGTTTCCGAGGCTGTAAATCTTTATGGGAGCAGAATGCCTCATCTTTCTCCTGTGGAACAGCTGGTAGTTTCGAACTGCTGACCTTATGGTGATGTTGTTGTTGTTGTTGTTAAGTGCCGTCGAGTCGGTTCCGACCCATAGCGACCCTGTACAGGGTTTCCGAGGCTGTAAATCCTTAGGGGAGCAGAACGCCTCATCTTTCTCCCGCGGAGCAGCTGATAGTTTCGAACTGCTGGTCTTAAGGTTCGCAGCCCGATTCGTAACCACTACGCTACCAGAGCTCCTTCTCTTATGGTGATGTTGTTGTTGTTAAGTGCCGTC